CCCTGCATACATGTATGCGTTGCGTATGTGGTTATACACCATAGATAGTGTTTGGTACTATCACTCACGTAGATATACGAAACCGAGCGTATAATAACAGAACCGAGTTGGTTTATAGTTAGTGTTAGGGTTAGGGCTGGGGTTAGAGAGTAGGCGTGGTTAGGGAGTAGGCGCCTCCCTAGACTAGCATTATATTACATTTATGTAATACAACATGAACAGCGCATGCGCAGCAACTGCTCGGACGAATAGCGCATACGAACAGGTGTCCGATGCTCGGACGAATATCCACGTCCATACAGCAGAGTATCCACTTCCGCTATTTTACCGTACAGTACTATGGTACTGATTGGCTAGTATATTTATGTATGTGTTTATAATATATGTATGTTAGTATATTATGAATGTGTTCAAAAGGTTTCGTATTGGAAACGTGATTCCGGAAAATAGCTTAGAAGTTAGATCATCTAGATTTAGATGATCAACCGGGGCTACAAACGTGTAGAAATAAATTGGATTTGGATTAGATTATGCAAGTTTCTGCTTTCGGGTATGCAAATAAAAAGCCATGAATCCTATATTTTAGAATTTTTAGTGTAAAACAAAGTACACGTCTATTATTAATATCAAACTTACCTCTCTTGTTTTTAGTTCCATTCTTTCTCGCTATATTTATTTCTTGTGTGATCTTCTTTTCCAAGTAGTCAGACTTCTTAACTAACATATCTTCGGTCTCTCTTAATTTCTGAATCGCTTGCTGTGGACTAGGTGTTTCATCTTTCTTGCCACTAGTCCCAAACATTTTCCCTAAAAAACTCATTGTCACTGAAAGAAATAATTGTTACTAGTATAATATACTAAATTTAACCAAGATGCAGTTATGTACATACACTTATGTCCTCTTCTGTTGTCGCGTTGTGTAGAAAACGCGAAACATAAACTTCACTATTTATATTTAAAAAAACAATTACTTTGTGTTTAATGCAGTAACTGAGGTTGAATATTACAAAACATTTTATTTACACAGAAACGTATTATTAATGAAGTTAATTTTACTGCTTTGTAATTATCAGAGTATATTTATTAGAAATGTGTAACGGATGTACCCAGTTAGTACGACGACCTTATAAAGATTAGCGAAAATGGCGTCTGGTGCGTTGTTTGGGAGTTCGGCTTCCCGTTCTCAAAGCAAGAATCTAGTGGAATTCCGAGCTGGAAAAATGTCCCAAAAGGGAAAAATGGTCCATCCAGACAAAAGAAAAGGGTCAGTGTACGTTTACCAATCGGACGACTCACTTATCCACTTTTGTTGGAAGGATAGGACAACTGGCATCGTAGAAGATGTAAGTTCATGACTCATCAGCAAATTGATTCACTAACCCGTGCATGAACACTAGGAATGAGTCACTAATGACACTTTCCAGTTAGGGAGGGGCTAGCTCTAATAGTAGTAGTAGTATTACTATAACACTCACTGTCTCGAACACCACTGCGCACGCAGGACCAAAACACTTCATCGTCCAATCGCCGTTAGGAAGAATATACCCCGGTAATCACAGCCACGCAGGAACTTCAACTTGGAACGTTTAAAAGTCTCACTGTTTATGTATTCTTTATTGACTAATAATAGTAATACTGTAATAGTAATAGTGGTTCAAGGATAGAGAACATGTAGCCCATTCAAACCTATGGCATTTTCTTAAATGTGGGGGTAGCCCCTTTAAACTCA